GTCCGTCGTCGGTCGTCCGTCGTCGTCGTCGTCGTCGTCGTCGTCGTCGTCGTCGTCGTCGTCGTCGTCGTCGTCGTCGTCGTCGTCGTCGTCGTCGTCGTCGTCGTCGTCGTCGTCGTCGTCGTCGTCGTGGTCGTCGTCGTCGTCGGCGGCGGCGGCGGCGGCGGCGGCGGCGGCGTCGTCGTCGTCGTCGTCGTCGTCGGGGTCTCGCGCGCGTCGGGGGCGCTCGCGCGAGCGCGAGCCGGCCCAGTGATGGCAGCCCAGGGACCCGCTGCTCGGACAAACAATCGGAGCGGCCGGTTTGGGTATGCGCCCAGCCTCTGGACGCCCTCCGCGGCCGAGGGACCGTCAACAAACGACCTCGGGGGGGGGAAACTGGCCCTAGAGTCAGTGGCCTCTTGTTGGTACTGATATTCTCATGAGCAGACCATTTTTTGTCAGAATGAGGCCGCGGAGAAGTTCGGGCAGTGCTCCCAGTAACGCTAGCTCGGAAGGCGATGCAGACGCCTCCCAACAAGGCTTATCAGAAAGACCCAGATCTTCCGGTGATTGAATAACACTCGCTTGAAAAACACTCGCTTGAAAAACACTTGCTTGAAAAACACTCCTGTGAAGACCCAAATCCTGATCGGGGAGCTCCCCTCCCTTGAAAAACGCTTCGGCTCCGCGAGCCGCACGCATGCCGCGAGGCACCGCCCAGCGTGCTGGACTACCTACCACGGGGCAAAGAACCCGTTGCTGTTGGCGAGGACGGAGCCGAAGAAGGCGATCGTCATGATGTTCACGTAGGTGTCTGGCAAGAAGTCGATCTCGCGGTTCGCGACGGCCACCGCGGCCGGCGACTCCTTGGCCCCCTTCCCGCCCAGCGCCGCGGCGCCGGCCGCGCCCGCGGCGCCGAGGCCCGCGGCCTTGCCGCCCGCCGCGCCCGCCGCCCCCGCCGCTGCAGCCTTGGCGCCGCCGCCGCCGCCACGGGCTCCGCGCGGAGGGCGAGCTTGGAGAACCCGGTTGCCCCCGGGATCCCGATGAACGCCTGGTCGAGGGCGGCGCACGCCACGAGCGCGACCACGGCGCAGGGCAGTGCGACCGAGCGCGTGCGGGCCATGCTGCCGGCTCTCTCTCGCTGCGGCGGGCTGGTGGACTGCGCGCGAGTCCGCGGGGCGAGCGGGCCAGTCGGAGCCAACGAGGGCGGGCGGGAAAAAACTCGAGCCAATATCGGGCAGATTTGGGGTCCAACTTCTTGTTCTCAACCTCATTGCATCCGTAGCGGCTTTGGCTCCAGTGGCGCGCTTTCAGAGCGCGCCATGGCGTGGGCGGATTCCAGCTGTGGACCGACGACCGACGACCGAGACACGACCGACCGACGACCAACCTCTGGACCGAACGATCGACCGACCGACCGACCGAAACGACGACGACCGACGACGACCGATCGACCGACGGACCGACCGAGACGACGACCGATTGACCGACGGACCGCAAAAACGACAACCGACGACGACGACCGACGGACGGACCGACGGAACGACGGACAAGCGCGAGGGAGGACTCACCCTCGTTGGGAGCGAGGCGCTGGCACAGTGCTAGCAGCCCCGCCCCTGGCCCTTGGTCCCCCCCCGACTTCATTCTGGTTTAAAGCCCTACGCCAGCCCTCAGTTCTCACAGAAGTAGATATGTTCTAGGCGCCTACAGTCGGGGCGTTGACCTAAGGAACCCTAAACAAGGAACGAGGCCCCTTGTTCCCAGAAGTTCAACCTCGATTTCCCATGGAAAACCTCAAAAGAACCCGACGCAAACTTTGAAACAATCAAGGAACACCGAGCCCCTCCCGAACGAAAAGGGTTCCTCCTTCAAGACCCCGACTGTATGCCGACAAGAAGGGGTGGTCCCAGCCTCTGTTCCAGCCGCCCTCGGTGTTGACTCCAGCCTCTCATTGTTACCCAGCGCGAGGCGTTCTGGCCGCCCACGGTGCGGGATGCTCCAGTTCCGCGAGAGCGCTCCAGCCGCTCCCTGCGTGCGCTCCAGCAGTGTATGTTTTTTCGCCCGGCGCGAGCGTTCCCACCGCACCAAGCCGCGCACGGCATGGGCTCCAGCCATGCGTGTTCACTCCAGATCTCGTAATAAAAGGGAGGGGGTCTCAACCCTCCCAGACGAGAAGTTCTAGACCCTTCCAGACCATCCACGAAAGGGCGGCCCTTTGCCCAGACCCCCCCGAACCCTCCAAGACAGCTCAAATCAGACCCCCCCCCAAATGTGACCCCCCCGACTTTATTATGGAATCCGGAGTACCCAGCGCGAGCATTTCCAGCCGCACACGGCGTGGGTTGCAACCATGCGCGTTTACCGAGCCCCATCCTTCCGGCCGCCCACGGCAACTCTCACTGGCACATTAGCCCACTGACTGTAGGGAAGTTGTCCAGACCTCCAGGGGTCCACGCATCGAAAAATTGTCGCCCACTGACTGTAGGGAAGTTGTCCAGACCTCCAGGGGTCCACACATCGAAAAAATTGGAGCGCTGGATGTCTGGGAGTGGACACTAGCAGATAGAGCACCCCGAGTGGCGTGCCCCAGCTGCCAGCTGCCCCCCATTCGGACACAGATGTCGGCGCTGAGCTTCTCCAATTGGATTCACCGAGCCCTCCCCCGAACTTTCTGTCCCAACCATCCTGTCGACTTGGGCAGGCGCTTCGAATCATCATCGCCACGCGTCTTCTCCCCCGCTCCTCTACTCTCCTCCTGCCCCTCCTCTCTCCTTCCGTCCCTGCCTCTGCCCTCCGCATGTCCATGTCGGCACACCCCTCACACGCTCCTTGTCTGCACAGGAATCTCCAACGAAGGCCCCAGCGGCAGGGTCCACATGCGACTCCCAGCACACAGCACGCACATTTCGGTACAGCCCTCACAGGTTTCATGGCCCCATCGGGAACTCCACCCAGGGCCCTAGTGGCAGGGTCCACGTGAGGCTCCCCGTCTGCCGCATGTTCATTTCGGCATACCCCTCGCACGTCTCGTGGCCCCATCGGGAGCTCCACCGAAGGCGCCTGTGGCAAAGTCCACCTGCGGCTCCCCGCCTACCGCATATCTATTTCAGCACACCCCTCACACGCCTCGTGGCCCAATAGGGAGCTCCACCAAAGGCCCCAGTGGCAGGGTCCACATGCATGTTCATGCCGGCACACCGCACAAGTGTCACACGCATTGTGGCCCCATCGGGAGCTCCACATTCCGGCACACCCCACACGTTTCGTGGTCGCTTCCCCGCAGGAAACTAGCTCTACCTGAGGCCCCAGCGGGTGCGGCCACATGAGGACTCCGCGCTTACCGCCTGTCCATTTCGGCATACCTCTCACACGCTTCTGCTCCATAGGGGCTCCACCGAAGGCCCCAAAGGCAAGGACCACGTGCGGCCCCCCTCGCCTACCGCATGTCCATTCGGGCACACCCTTCACACGCATCGTGGCCCCATAGGGAGCTTCACCTCAGGCCCCTTGGCAGGGTCCACATTTTGGCACACATGCACGCACCTTACATGTTTCGTGGTCCCCATATAGGGAGCTCCACCTAAGGCCCCAGTGGGTGCGGCCACATGCCGCTCCCGGCCCACCGCATGCTCATGTCGGCACAACCCTCACGCGGTTCGTGGTCGTGGCTCCATAATGATGAGGCCCCAGCGGGTACGCACCCATGAGGCTCCCAGCTGACCGCAAGTACATTTCGGCACACCCTTCACATGTCTTGTGGCCACATAGGGAGCTCCACGTAAGGCCCTAGTGACAGGGCCCACATGCGGTCACCTCCCTCGTTGGCACATCCAGAACATGTTTCGAGGCCCTGTAGGGGGCTTCACCTGAGGCTCCAGTGGGTGCGGCCACATGCGGTTCCTCGCCCATACCGGCACGCCTTTCACATGCTTCGTACCTCCGTAGGCATGGGCAGCTCCTCAGAAGTCGATCTGTACAAATGCGGCACTCACAGCTGCACATGGTATGGTATGGTCATTCGCGAGAGCACTTTTTGTTCAGGGTCGTTATTTGGTCATCGCTACCACCAAGGGTAACCCTCCGCTGAGCTGGCCCTGTCTGGCAAGTGCACCTAGGACCACCCCCGACCCTCGGGGGTCAACTGGAAATCGATACCGCCACTCCACGGAACTCTCCTGGGGTGCGTTCTGACCACGATGTCGTGGCGAATCAAGCCGTGGCGACGAGGAGTAGGAAGCAGTATCGGCTTCACTTCCTCCTTCAAGATCCGAGCATCTGGCCAGATCCTATGCGGGTCCAGCTATGCGATGGCCGAGTTCTCGAATCGGATCACGCATTCGGTCCAGGTACATGTTCGGTTACAGTTAGAGGCGCGACTTCGGTCACATGTGCTTGAGGTCGCAAACCTTTACGCGCGCCCTGACACGAGAGCTCGGGCGTGGACTACGCTCGGGAACTTGTGCGAAACGGCGGCCCCGGCGACACGCTATTCCTTGCCAGTGGATAACGTGTCGCTCCGCCCCGCGGGGCGGGAAGCTCGGGAAGGCTCGGGACATTGGAAGCATGAGGACAATGAAGTGGATAACGTCTCGCGCCAAAGCGGAGGCCAGAACAGGCGGAACGACACGCTATCCAAAAATTCCCGACCGTAACACGGCACAGCGCAGACCCAGCTCAGGCCAAACTGTCAATGTTGGGGGGCTCCCCACACCCGGCTCAGTCAATATGCAAGGCCACCAGCAAGGCCACGCAAATCCTAGATGGAGTCTGGGCACATGGGGTCGGAGGATCGTGCCGCATCGCCGATGCATCGCCGATGCATTGGCGATGCACCAGCGACGTCGGCGATGTATCGGCGCCGTCGGCGTAGGAAAAACTCGGGCTCCACATCGATCCGCATCGCTGATGCATCGGCGATGCGGCGCGATCCTCCGACCCCATCTGCTCGGTCACCCCTTGCGAGGCCTCGGGCGTCGACGTGCGCCCCGACCCGAGGATCAGTCAAACCCGCAGGGTGTCACCGCGGTCATCGTCCTCGTCGTCCTTGTCGTCCTCGTCGTCCTCGTCGTCGTCGTCTTTGTCGTCGTCGTCGCCGTCTCCGTCGTCGTCGCCGCCGCCGTCGCCGTCGTCGTCGCCGTCCTCGTCCTCGCCCTCGTCCGCGCGCTGTCGTGCACCCCGAGGAGGAGGGGGAGGAGGAGGAGGAGGAGGAGGAGGAGGAGGCAGGAGGAGGAGGAGGAGGAGGAGGAGGAGGAGGAGGGGACGGAAGGAGAAGGTGGGGGGGAGGAGGAGGAGGAGGAGGAGGAGGAGGAGGAGGAGGAGGAGGAGAGAGGAGGGGAGGGGAGGAGGAGGAGGAGGAGGAGGAGGGGGGGAGGGAGGGGAGGGAGGAGGGGAGGAGGAGGAGGAGAAGGAGGCAGGAGGAGGAGGAGGAAGAGGAGGATGGAGGAGGAGGAGGGGGAGGAGGAGGAGGAGGAGGAGGAGGAGGAGGAGGAGGAGGAGGAGGAGGAGGACGGAGGGCCCGAGGGGCCACGGGGCCTGCCCGCGGCCGCGCCAACGCAGCGGGCCCCGGGCGCCACGGCAGCGCCGCGGCGGCCAGGCAGCAGGCGGCGAGGCCCCGCGCCGCGGCGGCGCCGCCCCGCGGCCGCCGCGGCGCCATGGCCGCGGGCCGCCCACCAGGCAGGATCCAGAGCCAGATTTCTCCGACGACGGCATCGAGAGGGTCTCGCGGCGGGCACCGCCGACCCTGAGGGGGGAAGACGGCGACGACGACGACGACGACGACCAGGACGACGACGACGACGACGACGACGACGACGACGACGACGACGACGACGACGACGACGACGACGACGACGACGACGACGATCACGACGACCACAAGCACGACCACGACCACGACCACGACCACGACGACACGACCACGACGACGCTGCTGATGCTCTGGAGCCGAAGGCTTCCCACAGGGAGGGGTGCTCCTCCCAGCGGGGGGGGGGTCACAACCCCCGACGATGGGATCTGCTCAAGCGCGGCGCGTTTCCTCGTTCGGCTTTGGCCCGGGGGACCGCTCTAGGGCTCCATAGGGCCCATCAGGAACGATTCCTGGGGCGCAAACCTTGCCCAGGGGAAGGGGTCGGACCTCTGGGGCCGCGTGTTGGAAACATCACATCGTCGGATGTCTTGGGACGCCCAGGGACGGAGGCCGCAGAGCCCGAGCCAGAACTTCGCGAGCGGCCGAGCAGAGCGCGATGGCCGCGCAGCGGACGAGATGGCCGCGCAGCGGCCGGGGCCGCAGAGGTGCGACGCAGCGGCGTAGCAGCTTTGACTTTCTTCGATGGGCGGCCCACGCCTCGTGCCCATCAAATCACACACGCGGGGCCCATCAGCAGGGCCCCGGGCCCTGCGAAGCCGGAGGGAAGAGTCCTGCTCCGAGAGATCCTCGAGCTTGCGCTCTGCAGCGGCGGCACCCACCCTCGATGGTGCTCGGATCGTGTGTTGGCGCCGAACATGTGATTGTCCACCGAGGCCCTTCAGTACGACGCGTTGGGCTGTACAGCGAGCGCCGGCACAGGCTGCGCGCACGCTGTCGGCGGAGCTCGAGCCTTGAAGATAGTCGCCGCACGTGCAGGGCCGCTACCCAGCAAGAGAGGCCGCCGGTGGGGCGGCGCCTACGGCAGCGACGTCGGCGTCCGCGAGCGCGAGGGTCGGCAAGAACACCCGCCGCAGGGCCTCCGCGAAGTCCGCTTCAGAGATGTACCTCCGGCACCGCGCACCCTGCGCGGCCACCTGGGCTCAAGGCCGTCCACAGCGACACCGCATGGAATGCCCGCAAATTAACCGAAGCCGAATCTTCCAGAGGCGATCGAGCGGAGCCGCAGCAACGCGGCAACGACGCAACAGCCGGCCGAACAGAACCGATCGATTGAGGCCCACTGCGACGCATACGAAGCGACCGAACCGTGGACACCCTCGGCATGTCCCAACAGTTGTTATCGTCCGTCGTCATGGTCGCTGCCGCAAGTCTTCATGGTCTCTCCAGATTGACGCATCAGACTTCAAGCCGACTGCCGTTGCGCGCGACAGACATCACCCTCGCCCCTACCCGAGGCCACACTCCAGCCGGCTCAAAGCCATTCCCAAGACCATTCCCAAGCCGTTGCTGGACGCACCCTCAGTACGTTCGGCTACACGCAAGAGTGACCCTGGGTGAGAGTGACCAGTGGTGTGTGGCTTTGGGGGGGCCGCTGGGGGACCAAGCACAAGCGCGCAAGACGCTGCTACTGCATCGCGTTCGGCGATCTGGGAACCACTTATGCCCGCATCAAAGGTCACTCTGGCGAAAGGTTACTCTTACGTCTAGTCGATACGTGCCCCACCGATCCCCCCTGCGGCGGCGAACTGGCGAGGAGGAGGGCGGCAGAGGGGACGATGAAAACGAGGAGGGCGGGGGCAGGAGGAGGCAGGAAATTAAGGGGGGAGGCGGGAAGGAGGGTGCGGTGGGGGGGGAGGCAGGCCGAGTGGGGGGCGCATGCAGGGGAAGAGGAGGAGGGAGAGGAGGAGGAAGGAGAACGAGGGAGAAGAGGAGGAGGGAGGAGGAGGAGGAGGGAGAGGAGGAGGAGGGTGAAGGAGGAGGAGAAGGAGGAAGAGGAGGAGGGAGATGAGGAGGCAGGAGGAGGAGGCGGCGGAGGATGAGGATGAGGATGAGGATGAGGATGAGGATGAGGAGGGGTTCTGGAGTTCTGGATATAGCGACCAGGTCGGGGTGACATAATTAAATACTACATGTCTGCTTCTTGGCTAGCTCAGCTTTGCTGTAAGCTTTAGGCAAAATTCCACCAGAAATCCGATCGAGGTACTTATTACGATTACCCTCGATTCGGCCAACACACGACTTTGCTAGTTCTTTAAGCTGCTGAGCTGCATAGAACCCGCACGGTGAACAGAACCAGACTCCCCGTCCCGCGTGACGCCCCAATCTATGACTTAGGTCGGGAGGGAACAGGAGGGAGGAAGATGGAGGATGGAGGAGGAGGGAGGAGGAGGGTGGAGGAGGAGGAGCAGCAGGAGAACGGAGGAGGAGGGACACCCCCGGACAGCCTCGGAGCCGCCCCTGCCCCCAGCAGCCCCTCCCGCCCGGCGGGCACGCCGCCCCGAGAAGCCCGCGCGGCCGGCCCGCAGAAGGGCGGAGCCCCCCCCCCCCACGGGCCCCGCCCAGGGCGCCCGTTGTTGCTGCGGTCGATGGCCCTGCGCTCGGGTCGGCTAGACGTACAGTCGGGGCGTTGACCTCAGGAGCCCCAAATGAGGAACGAGGCCCCTTTTTCTATGAGCTCAACCTCGATTCCCCATGGAAGACCTCAGGAAAGCCCGAGGTAAACTTTGAAACAACTAAGGAACACCGAGCCCCGCCCCAACGAAAAGGGTTCCTTCTTCAGGGCCCCGACTGTAAGAGTGACCCTGGGTAAAGGAGAGACCTTCGGTGCGCAGCTTCTGGGGGCGCGGGCCGCCGACATCGCGTCGTGCTCGGCCCTCGGGGGGAGCCCGAGGAGCCCGAGCCAGAGGTCACTCCGGCGAGGGGTCACTTCTTATACGTCTGGTCCACTTGGGGGGGGGTGGGGCGCGGCGCGCTCCCCGCGCCCCCCCCGCGCGCGGCCGCTCCGTCTCCAGGGCGCGGCCAGCGATTTGAGCAGGGACCGACCGTCCCAGCAGTCCTAGAGGCCTACCACGAGATGCTCTTAGAGGCCAAACATGTTCTAATAGCAAAAACAATGTTCTTGGAACAGAAGTCTCGATGTGTTAGAACAAGACGGACTCCGCCAGAAGGGTTCTGAGAACATATCGTGGAAAGCACAAAAGGTTCTTAGAACATTGTTTGGCAAGGCTATAGGCGAGCCAGGACGCTTCGCCGCTGCTTGAGCGTTACACGTCGGTCGGAAGAAGTAGGCAGAAAGATGAAACAGGAAGGCGGATATAGTAGATGGGGGACAGGTCCTCCCAGAGAGTAACGAAACACAGCAAAAGCGTGTCGATGCTTGAAGTAGGAAGGCGCCTGAAGTAGATTGGGATCAGGGAATCCAGAAATACCTACTTTCAACGACCGGCGTGCACGTTGCTCCCATCGCACTTGAGGGCCACATCCCAGAACGAATGTCGAGCACCCGGAAACGTGTCGAACAAGTGCCGAGGCAGTGCCGAAACAGTCTCGGACGAGCGTCTCCCAGGGCCCGACGGGTGAGAATCCTCGAGTTTCGGTCATTACTTCGCTTCTGGTGCTCAACAATTACTGCTGGTGGTCAATGCCTTAGTGGGCCCTGGAAACGACAGGGCCGTTTTGTTGCCGGTTCCGTTCTGCCGTTTTTTGCCGGTTCCGAAGCTGTTTTTTTACCGGTTCCGTCGCCGTTTTTTGACCGGTTCCGGCTCCGGTTCCGATCCTGCAGCCGTTGTTTCGCCGTTTCCGGTCGCCGTTTTTCTGTCGTTTCCATTTTCAAGGGACATTTTTGGGGAAGCGGTGAAAAAGCGGCCCTGCCGTTTCCGGTGCCCACGAAGGTCAAGGCTGAAGTAGGTTGGAACATCAAAAGGCCCCACGCGTGAGTATCCTCGAGTTTCGGCTATTCCTTCGTTCCTGGTGCTCAACCAAATCATTGCTGGGGGTCCAGGCGAAAAGCAGGTGGGAACACCCTCAGGCCAGCGGCCTCGGCCCCCGGCGGCTGCTCCCGGGCGGGACCGCCAGCGCGCGCTGGGAGCACAGCCCGAGGGCACGGCGCGGGGCGCCGGGAAGGCGCCCTCGCCGGGTGGGGCCACCGCCACTGCTGCGAGGGGGCTGCGATGCGCGGGAGGCGGCCGTGCTCCACGCCGCCGCGCCAGCACCGGGCCTCCAGCGAGGTCACCGTGCCACTCAGGGCACAGTCGGGGCCTTGACCTAAGGAACCCTAAATAAATAAGGAGCGAGGCCCCTTATTTCCCTAAGTTCACCTTCGATTTCCGATCGAGAACATAGGGAAAGCCTGAGGCAAGCTGCGAAGCACTTAAGGAACGCGGAGCCCCTCCCCAACGAAAAGGGTTCCTTCTTCAGGGCCCCGACTGTATGCTTCTCGAGCGGGGCCTCTGGGGCCCGCTTTTGAAGGGGCCCTGGGGCGATCAAACTGTGCGGTCGGGAACCGTGGCGTGCCGCGTCGCGGCGGCGGCCCAGGCGACACGATCGCCCCTGAAGGCGGAGAAGGGTCGCTCCGCTCCGCGGGGGGGGGGGAGGCTCAGACAGGCTCGGGACGTGGAAGCCTGGGGGCTACGAAGCGAATCGCGTGTCGCGCCGAAGCGTGGTGGGCCAGCACGGGCGGAGCGACACGCTTTATCCAACAATTCTTGACCGTGTCCCTTCCACTCGGGACGATCGGAGTGGGTGCGGAAGGGAGGAGCACGACGACCAGTGAACACGACCCGCTGTCGGCGTCGCCGCGGGCGTTCCACTGCCCATCAGCGGCCGCTGCCGGTTTTGAACAGGACTAAATTTCGCACTACTCGGCGGTGCGCAAACCTCCCTTTAGCAAACCTCCCCCCTCAATTAGCGAAACCGGCCCAGGACCGCAACCAACGGACCTGGACCCGCAAAAATGGCAGCCGCGACGCCCTTTCGCGAACCGAAGACGGTCAATTCCTGAATCGACGTGTCAAGGTGGGAGGCCTTGAGCAGGGAAGGACCGTCCCGGCATTCCTAGAGTCCTATCACGACATGTTCTTAGAAGCCAAAACTGTTCTGAGAACAAACACAACGTTCTTAGAACCAAGTCCGATGTGTTAAAACAAGACAGCCCCAGCCAGAAAGGTTCTAAGAACATTCCGTGGAAACCACAAAAGGTTATCAGAACATTGTTTGGTAGGGCAGGGCTATTGGGGAGCCAGGACGCTTCGCCACTGCTTGAAGGCCTGTCAGCCTCCGAACCTACTTGTTGGGGTGTCCATGCAGGTCGTACCAGCCCGCGGCCTCGCAGCCTGGCCTCCCCGGCCGCGGCCCCACGGCTGCCGCGCGGCCTCGCACGCAGGCCCCGCGGAGGACGTACCCCTATAGGACGGCGCCTCGGGGTCCGCAACGAGGGCACGGATGTGAACAGAATATGTTCGTCTCTCGCGGTTCCTGGGCGACCACGGTTGGCCTTGTTTCCGCGACCGCAACGGCCTTGCTTTCGCGATCGCAGCATCCACCTACGCTGCACGATGATCGGCTCCACGACGACGTGGACCGAAGCACCGCCGGGCAAGCCGGGAGGGCCACCGAGATGTCATCAACAGCGAAGCGCCCAAGGAAGAGGGGCGATAGAAAGCTGGGCGACCACTTCTGGCGGGCCTGCTTAGAAGAGAGGGGGACTCTGACTCCCCACACGCCCCCCACCTCCCTTCCAAAGAGCCTCTAGTTCATGAGTGCACCTGGACAGAGGCCCCCTAGATGGCGTCCGAACACATGGGGTCGGAGGATCGCGCCGCATCGCCGATGCATCGGCGACGCCAGCGATGCATCGGCGCCATGAACGCGCAGAAACTCCGGCTCCATTTCGTCGATGCTGAGCGATCCTTCGACCACTTATTCTCGGGCCCTGAATGGTGCTCTCTGAGCTTCTTGGAAAAGGCTCACTGAGCTCCGTCAGAAGTCTCTGGCCCCTCAGTCGGCGGCACGCTCCTCAAAGCCGCACCCCCCCGGATCCTGCGCTTCTTCACTCTCCAACACACGGCCCATGCCTCTTCAGCATCGAAACGTTTTCCGCCGTGCGCGCCTGGGGGGCCGCGACCACACCCCCCGCTGTCCCCCAAAAGGTCCTCCGACATCCCTCCCGCACGCTTCCCCTTGACCGCCCTCTGGCCGGCCCTCCCCCTGTCACCATCTGCATCCCGTTCCCATCTCTTCTCCCTCGGCCCCCCTCCGCCCACACTCCGGGGCCCCCGCTGCCATACCGGTGTTTCGTCGCGGGGGGGGATGTTGACTTCGAGCTCGCAAGCGGCTCCGAGGAACTGGAACTGCGACCAACGGAACGCACAGAGACATACTAATACTATATGTCCTCCTTGGAGGCGCGCGTCCGACCCGAACAGATAGTACACCCATCTTGTACTATATCGTTTCCCGAGCGGTGCGGCCAGAAAGCGCCCGCGACGACGCATACACTACAAGATCTCTCGGTGCGCGGGTCGCCCCAGGGGGGGCGACGCACACACACAGTATTAGTATCTTGGGACGACGCTGAACCAGACCAGGAGCGCCTGCCGCTGCTTTTTTCTGGCCACGAGGGCCGAGGAGCTCTCTCGACCCCTTCCCTGAGGCTGGCACCGCCTCTTTGCCGCGGGCTGCCCTTTCGGGCCCTGGGCCCACCGTAGACTCGGGGGCGGCACAGAGGGGGGCGTCCAAGAGAGGGGGGTGCAAATCATGGCCGGCGGCATGTGGGCGGAGCAATGGACGCATTGAAATAAGAAGAGGCGCCGTGAAATCTGGGGAAATACCATGGCCCCCGCCATGATATCCCCCCCCCCCTAGTCATCACCCCCCTCGTTTCCGCCACCGGTAGACGGCCCCCGCTACAGCCCGAGGTGGCAAGCCCGAGCGCCCGTCGCGAGACTGGGGCTTCGCCGCGCGCGCCGGGGCCCGGTGCGCACCGAGAGCGAGCAGGTCGCGCGAGGGGGCAGACGGCCGCCGCGCATCCCACGACGCCGGCTTCTCCTCCTCCTCCTCCTCCTCCTCCTCCTCCTCCTCCTCCCTCTCCTCCTCCTCCTCCTCCTCCTCCTCCTCCTCCTCCTCCTCCCTCCTCCTCTCTCCTCTCCTCAACCTCCTCCTCCTCTCCCTCCTCCCCTCCTCCTCCTCCTCCTCCTCCTAATGCTCCTTCCTCCTCCTCCTCCTTCCCCTCCTCCCCCTCCTTCTCCCCCTCCTCCATCCCTCTTCCTCCTCCTCCGGGTTGCGTTGGTGTCTTCTGGGCGGCGCGCACAGGGGGGGGTATGGGGGGGGAGGGGGGGAGGGCGTCATGGACGGAGGCTGCGTCTCCGAAGGCGCAGGGCCTCTGACGTCCTATCGAGACGGCCCGCGCCTCCCAAGGAGCAGCCTCCTTCGAAGAAGCCTCCCCCCCCCATCCCCTACACCCCCTCTGCGCGTGGCCAGCCGACACCCCGCGGGTCGCTCGACCCATGACGCTCGCGACGGGGTCGCTCGACGTCGGCCACTTTCGCCGCGCGACTGGCGGCGCTCCTCCTCGAGGGCTAGGGGGCCGCCGCCGTGTCAACGCGGCGCGCTCCTGCCGCCGGGGAGGGCCTCCGCGGGAACGAGCAGGAGGTGTTGAGCACGATCGGAGAGCTGTCGGAGAGGGTGGAGCCCGAGTGGGCCATGGACTGAGCCAGAAAGGCTGGATCAGGGCGGACGCGGCCATACCTCAACGAACGATGTACCGAGGCGAGGCCTAGGATCAATTCCGTCTACCAAGAGTTGCGTGCAAACGTTGGGTCGGGCATGTCCTCCTACAGGCAGATGTTGGAAACAACATACAACTTGCAAAAAACAATGCGCAACAAGTGTGCCATGATAGTAGCAAAGCTTCCAGGAGGATTGTTTCACTATTTCTTGCACTAGTTCCTAACATTCCTCCTGTGGATGGACATGCCCGACTTAATAATAACGCGCAATAGCTGCCCCAGGTGCCGCTTCGTCGACCCGTGGCAAGCGCGCCTGAAGGCCGAGCGCAGTGTGGGATACCTTGTCCGGATCTTCTCCTGCAGGTGGCCCTCTATCTGGTGCTCGCGCTGGCTCCTGCCAGGGGCCGGGCGGAAAGGGAAGCCCACCAGCCTCAGCACACCACGATGTCTGCACCTCGAAAATCAATCCGTCTTGTGACTCAATCCGTCTTGTGATTCACCTTTTGCAGATTCAAGCCTCGAAAATCAATCGAAACGGCATTTCAAATCTCACCCTTTGCCCTCCACCCAGAGAAAATGCTCGGTCTTCCCTCCGCTCAAGAACACGTGTGGCTGTCAAGCAAACGCTGATCGAACAATTCTCCCTGGCGACTCGGTGTGGAGCGTGCACTGCGTCGACCAGCGAGCGCCCCGGGGTCCGTGAGCGCCCGAGCGCAGGGGGCGGGAATGAAACCCGGACCTCCATGCGCAAAGGCATCTCTGCACCACCGCTCTGCCTGGCCAGAGCCGGCCTGGGCCCTGGAGTTGCGTATACGCCCTCCCAGCCTTCGGTGGCAACTCATGCGAGCCTCCCAGACTATCACGTCGGTTCTTGCGAATCGACGCTACATCGACGCTGCATCGACGCTGCATCGACGCTAGATCGACGCGAATCGACGCTAGCCGACGGCAAATCGGCGCTATCGCATCGACTCCCAGACGCTAATCGACGCTGGTCGACGCTAAAGACGGAAACAAAAAAACATTACCAGGCCCCCGCGGTTTGCTACCGAACCAGCCGAGGCCGGCAGGGTCTATACGCCGTGCCAGGGCCCAGGATGGCCCTGGCCAGGCCTGATGTGTAGATAGGTGCCGTCTGCGGAGGGCGATGCGGAAAGAACGTGGCGCCGGGCCGCAGCCAGAAATGTGAGTCTTTCGGGGCCCGGACCAGTCGTCTCCTGGGCTTCCCCGAGGTCTGCCAGAATCGCTCGCGTCGGCTTGCCTCGCCCAGGAAGGCCCCCCAAACGAGCCCAATGACTCCAAGAGGCCCCTTAAATTTGTCAAAGAGGGCCCCAAGTCGCCGCAAGAGGCCTCCAAGACGCCACAAGAGGCCTCCAAGACGCCACAAGACGCCCCCCAGAGGGCCCTAAGATGCAAAAAGCCATGTTGGTTTGTCTGAGTTGTTTGAAAGATTATGGCGTTCTCGCCTGTTTGGCTTTCCGACGCTCCAAGACGGCCCAAGAGGCCCCCAAAAGGCCCCCAAGACCACCCCCAGACGGCCCAACAGGCCTACAACGCCCTAAGTCGGCCCAAGAGGCGCCCAAGACGGCCCAAGAGGGCCCAAAGACGACCTTAAAAAGCGCCCAAGAGAGAACACGAATAGAGACTCCGAGCCTTCCGCCCCAAGAGGCCCCAACGAGGCCCCAAGAGGCGCCCAAGAGGCACCAGGAGGCGCCCAAGAGGCCCCGAAGAGGCCTAAAAGTAGCCTCAAGAGGCCCCAAAGCCGCCACCAAGAGGCCTCCAAAAACTGCCTCCAAGAGGCCCCCGAGAGGCCCCCCACGAGACCCCAACGAACATCCAATAGTCTTTTACACCCACACCCCAGGCACGGTGGCGGGACGGGCCGAAAGCCAACACACACCTCCTGCGGACGGCGCTGCGAAAAGAAAAACATGACGGCGGGCGCTTCGACTACCCGACCTCGGGCCCTTGAACAACGCAAACAGTCGAGCAACGAGCCGCGACGAAACGGCGGTCCCGGTGAAGGGGTCGAAAACCATCAAACACCTTCTGTGGAAGGCGCTGCGGAAAGGAAATGACGGCGGGCGCCTCGATTCCCCGACCTCGGGCCCCAGATTCTCGAAACAGTCGAGCAAAACGAGCCGCGGCGAAACGGCGGTCCCGGTGAAAAGGGGTCGAGCACTCCAGGGCCACGGCCGTGACAGCACGTCGGGGCTGTTCCGGGACGTCCGACGTGCTGGAAGCAACATCGCTTAATGGAGGGGTCGTGTTCACGCGGCGGCGCTCGGGATGACGATTAGAAAAAAACGGCCGCGGGCTGGACAACTATCTTTTATCGTTCTCCTCCAGTCAGAAAATTACGCAGAAATAACAGGAAACTATGCTTTAATCGTTATCTTCCATTTTGTATTTATCGTCATCCCACATTACCTGAAGAAAGGACAGCTGCAACGTTCTCAAACTACTGTGCAAAAAATGGCGGACACAGGCCTGGCATCATCCTACCAACAAGTGTCTCTGTTATCCATGGGGTGCAGCAGATTTGCTTTGCGCGCTACCAACACGTGTTCAACAAAGCGGTTGGAGGAACGCATCAGGTCTACACACATTGGCTCTCGACCCAAACGCATGACGATTGGTGCACCCACGTGAACGTCAAATTGTCGTTGCCGCGGATTGTGCAAAAGACTGGGCGCATTGGCAATACTCTTGGACTTGACAGAAGCATTTGACCGACACGGTCCAACAGCCATGTCCCGAGCTCTTGCCAAATTTCGCGTACCAGCGCAAGTGCTAGCTAGATATTGCGAAAGCCGCGGATGACGACCGAGAAGTCCACCTCACAGAGTGGTGGCTCTACATTGTGAAACCACAGAGGAAGGATCGCTCAATTGTGCCCGCGGTTGACCCACCTGTTCATTATTGTACCGGCCACCGTATGACAAAACGTGTCAAGACATGACCACTGAAATTACACAGCCCAACTACACAAAATGGAATGACATGCTGTAAGCAGGGCGAAGTTCTGATGTAGGCGAAGTTATGATGCAGGTGCGCACTTGAAGGTCCGATGGACTCCCCCGTAAGAGGTTCCAAAGCTGCTGGACCACTTTTCATCTGAGTTTGCTCTTCAGCACACGCGCAGAGGGCAGGCCAGAGGTTATCAGAGGAGCTGTGAAAGTAAAGCGAATGTTTCAGTCAGTGGCAGCATGTTGGAGTCACATGAGCATCATGGTACACAAGTGTATGTTGATAGAGTGGGTACAAACTACTGTGTCACCAAAGCTGTTATACAACTTAAAACAGCTCTGGCTACCACAGGTGGTCAGTAACGTTTTGGATGTGTCCAAGTGGCACCCCTGGGATCAAGCGTATCAAAAATGTCCCATGCGGCTTGTCCAATGCTTCGAATCAAGAAGTGCGGAAACGCTCACAAGCACAAGAAGATCCACTGTGCAAACGCACCACGTTGTACAACAGAATTGCAGGATTACAAGAGCAACATGTTTGACGGAGGCGTGTGTGCGTGTAGGGAGCGCGAAGACCAACAGCAGTTATATCACAGTCGAAGGCGCGGACGTCAAGATTGCAGTGGACCAGCTACGGCAGTACGGAGCCCTGAGGGCATGCCCTCTATCAGTGCCCTCTCTCCCCTCCCCTCCCGCTCCCTCTCTCTCCTCCCCTCCCTCAGTGCCGAAATCTTGCATAGGTGAGGTCGACCAGCAAGTTTGTTGAAGGGGCCCTAGGACACACACATAAATAGACACGAATAACACGATCCCCCAGATGTCGCCATATTTGTGGGGTCTTTGTCTTCCCCCCCACTTCCCATATCTTCCCATATTTTCTGGGGGTTCGACGATTCATTGTGTCTGTGTTCTTGTCTCCCTCCTGACAGTTGTCCTGCATGTGCGGCGATTGGGCCCCTGGCTGTGCGTGTGTGTCTGTGTGTGCGACGTCGGTGGTCTGGAGACTGCTGACGCGAAGAGGTGAGAATCCATGCGGAGAAACCCCAGACCAGGAGCAAATCCCCTCTTGCTCCTCAAAGGTTGAAATGCATTGTCCTCCTCGTGTGTGGGGGGGGGATCGAGAAAACCGAGGGACCCCGATACCCCTCCGAACCAGCACTGGTCTCGATGCCCACCCGTTGCGAGTACATAGAACATGAGAGGGAGACATGGAATCCTTGGGGGGTCAGATAATAGTTCTGGCACGACGGCTTATTCCACCCAGCATTTCCGATTGTCCTTGTGCTCGAAGCTCGAGCAGAAGGGTCGTCGGATCTCGCGGGCTGGATTGCCCGAAGGTGTGGATAATCGCCGATCCGATGCATGCAGAAACCCATCCAGCAGAGGCCTGCCATCGGGATCGGCAGGAAACGTAGGCCACCTCGCTTCGCGCGTCGCTTCGAGCTTCGAGCTTCGCGCTTCGCAACACGCGGAGCGGGGCTATAATTAACCTTGCGGTCTTGCGCCCCCCCCTGGAGAACACCATGTCCCTGGTCCCTGCCGCAAATAAAGCTAAGATGGGGTGCTACGTTTTCGTATCGTGTTCGTTGCGAGGCGTTTGGAAACGAAAACGGTCCGACCGGTTGTCAAAAACAGCGCTGTGGTGCAAGTCCGAAGTCGTGATCGGCCAGTAGTGAGCCCTCGGATGAGAACAAAACGAAAGCGATGATAAAACGAAAACGATCCACGAGATTGCCAAAACTTGGAAAAAAGGCTGGAGGTCTGAACTTCTTGGGGCCCCAATAAATATGTCAGGAGATAGGTTGAAGCCAAATCCGATCAAAATCAGTCCCTGGACCACTCCTGGGGCCCACCTGGTGCAATTGCTCATCCCGGATCCGTGTTTGACGGCCCCGGTGCCCGAAAACGGCCCCCAATGAACAAATGATCGAAAAGTCGTCCCAAGACTATTTCCTTGACTCTTCTTAAATACGCCTCCTGTAGAGGGACATGTCCGACTTAAGCCTTGACCGAACGGCCGCTTCCGAAACGTCAGATCGTTGAACATCGACCGATTCTGGGTCGCCAGCCGAGTTCAACGTGAACAGCCAGCGGAGGGGTCGCCGCCAGGCGACACGATGCGAAGCTGCCGTAATATCGGCAGGCTCGTGTCGTGACGACCACCGGCGCTGGTCTCTGACACCGCGCGTGTCGTCCAGGGCTCGACTGGGCTTCGTCCAGATTTCGACCAACCCTCTCCACCCTTCCGCCCAGATTTCGTCCAGATCTCGTCCGCATCCGACGAGGCCCAGACGACACGGCGCGGCGCGAGCGGGCGGCGGCCCGAGACAGCCGCCTTGCCGTCGCTCGGACGCTCATTCCCCGTACATTCGTCGGCGTCGTGCGTGTGATGACTGTTATCAGTGTTATTTTGCTTCGTAGTCTGATTCTTATGCTTACTAACTTGTCGTTTTAACGCTGTAAACAAAATGCTCTATGTCCTCGATGGTCCCCGCCCCCCCAAAAAAACGCACACGTCTGGGCGATGCCAGGCAGGCGGCGGCATCAGAACCCACACCCCCCACCAGCCAGCGCTTCGCCCGAATCGATGGGAGGCAGGAGCCGTTCGGCTCTCGCTTCGTGTTCGACGGATGCCGCACCCTGCCCCCGCCGCCCATCGAGTACAGGGAATCCAGGGGAAGACGCACCATTCCGGAGGTCAGCACGGATCCCCTTGGTCCGGCGCTGGACCCTCCTCCCCGGCGCGCGCGACGCGGCGGGGGCCCACCACCGATCCCGAGAGGATCCGTGCGGACCGTCGACAACTCATGCTTCTTATGCCGCTTTCCGGAGGCGCGCACGGGGGGCTGGGGGGAAGGGGGAAGGCTTCCCAGAAGGAGACAAGGCCCGCGCCTTCTAAGAGGCAGGGTGCTTCTAAGAGGGCCTTCTTGCTCTTCGCCTACCCCCCCCTCTGCGAGTGGCTGCCGGCGGTGGCGACGAGGGCCTCCCAGGAGGCCTTGAACAATGGCAGCACGAGGGAGGAAGGGTAGAGGCAGTAGAAGAAGGAGAACCGCCATAAACATAAAACTTTTGGCGTTCCGCGCCAGAAGTTTATGTTTCTGGCGGTTCTCCTTCTTCGATCTGAGCGTTGGAGGCCTGGAATTGGGCACCAACACCACGGAGGTTGCCTACACAGGGGGAAGATGACTCAGATCCGGCCACCTTGGAAGCCAGGATCTTACCGCCATCGCCGAGATCGGCATCTTCTTCCCTCGGTGGAGGCACACCGCCGATACAGTCGGGGCGTTGACGTAAGGAACCCCAGATAAGGAACGAGGCCCCTTGTCTTCCATAAGTGAAGCTTCGGTGTCCCATAGGAAGCCAAAGAGGGCCACCCAAGGCAAACTGCGAGACAATAAAGGAACCCTAGGAGCCCCTCCCCAACGCCAAGGGTTCCTTCCTCAGCGCCCCGACCGTATTGTCGGGTCGGGCGAAAGGGGGGGATAGCAAAGGGGGGGTTTGAGAATCAGCTCACGTAGCTGATTTTCCCGGCGCCTCCCGGCGCCGGAGGCGGCTATGTGTCGAGGAATGGGCCCCTCGGCGAGGCCGAAACCAGCTGCATGCAGCACATTTCATAACCCCCCCTTTCCCAATCCCCCCCTTTCGTCCAGCCCGATATTGGTGCTGGTGCCAACCTCTGGG